CCATTGCTTTTTAGTCTCCAATACTTCAGTGAGTCATGCTTTGGAAATGACAATAATTTTTTATTACCCAACCCTTGAGTTGTTTTGTTTTTCATTTACCCAACCTTTTACTTACTCAAAATTTAGTTTACCCAACCCTTTTCTCTTCGGTGCCTTGTGTTTATTTGGCAACATGGCGGCTACAGTTCAAGTTCACTTGCACGGGATGAATTTTGACAAACATTTTACAAATTAATACCAAGAAGTCATAAACGGTAATTGCCTCAATATCTTTGCCAATTTTACATGCATAATCCACGGTTGGTTGACCATTAACCGACATAGTTATAAACAGTATATCAAACATAATTTATATCTTGTGATTTCAAAAAGTCATGCCTTGTTGTTTTATACAAAATGCATGTACACGTCAGTCGTGGTATTAAATTGTTCAAAATCTGGTAAAAATTGCCAAAACTAAACCCAAATTTCTCTCTTTTCCTTCGGTAAGATTTTTAAAACTTTGCACATTTTTTAATATCGACGGCACAATAAGTGCAATATTTGACAAGTTCAAAATTTCTAAAAAATTTATCAATATAACTTTTTTAAATGGAGGAAAAAGATCATTATACTAGTATTATCCTTTATGCAAAGTTTTAAAAAAATTCACCGAAGGTAATTTTTAAAATGGCCTGTAAAAGACAAATTTTGAGCTTTATTCTAAGCATGCTGTTGCCATGGCAAAATAAATTTAGCACGAAAGTGGCAAATTGTAATGTTCAGGAGAGCATTGTCAATGTGTCCAATAAATTTCGTTTTCATGTCATATAAAAAGAAGAAACAGGAGTCTCCTCAATACTATAGTGTAGTAAATTCAAAACCCTAGGGAGCCACCTTAAGACGCTTTTTGTTTCAGTTAAGCACGCGTTGCGTGAAATCAGCATGCAGGTGGCGTAGAATCAGAATAAATTTGGGACGATACGCGTACTGCAGTAGTAGCAGGATAGTTTGTCAAAGACAGTATCGACCTGGCTATTTTCTGGTATATAGCAAAAGAATACATTTTATGTGGCGATTAATATAAATAAATCGCAGCTACAATCAGTTTCAAAAGTCTTGGGACAGATGCCACAAAACCTTTGAATTTCAACAGTCGTCAATCCCCCCGCCCTCTGTTCAATGTTGTGTCCCATTTCTTTTCAGGTTTGACGTGTTTTGGTTGGAGCAACATTGGTTGGGGTTGGGGTGGGGGGAGGGGGAGGGGAGCGGTATTGTGTGTGAAAAACTGTAGTGATCCACTTACACTCTAAAACTACATGTGTCCCAAGAACTTCTGAAAGTGATTGTCTGGGCCCCCATATGCCATAACACCATTCTATATTTCAAATGTACAGGGGATAGAATGCTCTGCGAACGAAGTATTTCTGCTCCATTTCGTTCACAGAAGATCTAATAAAACATTTTAAAACAATTAAGGTCCATTAAAATTCTCAAAGTTAATAATTAACAGGATATGAATATTACTTGTTATGTTATATAGCATTTTTAATCGTTGTTTGTTTTTACAAATTTCGGCAGAGCACAAGTGGGTTATTTGAGAGGTTATATATAAAGATAGGTATCGCGAATGTTTTACGCTAGAGATGTCACACTTACTGTTAATTTATAGCATAGAAATATAACATATAACAGATACTGTACACTCTAAAACTACATGTGTCTCAACAACTTCTGAAAGTGTTTGTAGTTTCTTTTCTTATTTCTTTCTGCAATAAACTGTTATCTTACTTAGTCTAGGGCCTGTATATGAGTTTGTATGCATTTCATTTAGGGCAGGTAATCGCAACTGTTTTAGGGTAAAATGACCATGGTGGGCAACATGGCATTTGTGCCAAAACCTGCATCCAGGGGGAAAGTCCTGAAAATGACTTCGCCCAGAAACGGCAGTGTCGACATAGCTCTAACTTCCGAAAAGGAAAAGTGACAGCCCTTCTAAAGTGCTTATAGTGTTTAGAAGGGTTGCCTTTATGGGTGGTCATTGAAAGAAAGATTTTGTCTAAGTATAATATTTTACAAGAAAATGACCATGCACCACCACAGGTAAATTGCTAATTATGTACAAAATAACTAATATGCCGGGCAGAAATGAAATTTTCTTATTTCCTATAAAAATTATCATGGGATAAAAAACTATGCTTAATTTAACATAATTATTCCGTACTTCATAAGGATTGTCATTGTTTTCTTTAAATATAGTACATGTTATTTCACTTACCCCCACGAAAACACGATTTCAGCCATATTTTGCTGTCTTGTTTGCTTTTAATCGCCGAGTCTCGCAAATATCATCCAGTTCTTGTACTTTTACAGAATCATAAATGGCTAAAGAAGATTTCAACCAAGACTGATCAAGTTTTAAAACATTGCAGTGTATTTTATCTTCGATATTGTGTCCTTCGATATTTCGTTAAATATGGCAACATTGCATTGGCTAGCCGCTTCTCTGCCCGATAAATGCTATTATTCGTCTTCCTATGTATTTACACTACAGTATCCAAGAGTACTTCATTATAGAATAGTCTCAATCCAATAATTGATAACATCAGTTGCACTTGAAAGGAAAAAACTTCCCATAACACTTGTCCTGTCAGAATCCAAAAGAAGTAATTTAAAATTCATGACAGCGGTGTGTGTGAACATTTTTACGAAACGTTTAATCGCAACCACAGCAACTTAGGGACCAGTCATTATTTATGGCGGGGGGTGGCACCGAAGAGAAACGTTTTTCGTAGCAAAAATTTTGCTGACCCAACCATTAAAAAGTAAAAAAAAAATATTACCCAACCTCAAATATCAATTAAAAAATAAATACCCACCCCTGGCCAAAAAATTTACAAAATGTATCATTCAGTTGTCACATATGTCCTTTACCACTTCTGTGACATAAGTTTGATAACAGATTGTGAAATTTTCTGCAGTCTGAAGTTTCATGTTGTCTGCACATGTAGCTACTTTCTTTGGAGATCCCATCGGAAATTGATCAAAATAGTGACTCTGATATATACTTTTCGTTGTTTCTTTACACATTTAGTAAATCTTAGTATAACACCAAGTTCAGCAATTGCTGCTATTTTGCTAGCAAATCCATGTATAATAAACCCGGGTGTTTTGCAATCAAAAGTGATGCAACCTGGATAGTGGAATAGGTTGACTACTGTAGGCACAATTTTTGGACACTTAATAGTCAAAGGTCATGCATAAATAAGAACAGTCTTTACTATTACCGCCTTACGGAGACTTTATATTAATTGTGCTACTCTAGGATCTAGAAGACCCATAGGTCCCATACTCGACTAGCAACATAATCAAGTTAGTTATATGTTAATTCATTATATATACGATCAATGTTAAAGGCAGGGTGGGCTATAAGCTATAATCATTTGTATGGTTATAGAAGGCTAATCCAATTGCTGCGAATACTGTAAATTGAATAATGAATGTAGCACAATATTAAATAGTTGCATGATGACATCAAAGAAACTAGTCAGACTACATTTGCAAGTCTTGCAACTCTCATCGCTTAAATCCCCCATACCTGAATACAAAATAAACAGTAAACAATGATTACCTTTTACATACCATATATAAAACGGAGTTTTCATTCTTTCTAGAAACTCACTTCCTGAACTTTTGAGCGCAAATGTAATGTATTAAAAATGTATATCATATTCACAGCGGTTAATACCATTAATATATCGCGGGCGCAATACAAAACAAAACACGAGAATTTTAAAATGTTTTGATTTGCAAATAAATAAATAATATTTGATGTCATAAAAATTTTTAAATTTAACTCAACACAAACTGGTAAGTTCATGACATGTATAATTTACTTATATGTTGTTATATTGCAATTCTGTACCCTACTCCTTTGAAAATTGTTTGCAGTTGCATATGATGTGAACATGTGGTCATGTATTACCAGACTTTATTGTATTATAGTTGTGTCATGAATTTAATGATACCCCAATGGCTTCGAAATAGACAATGGATGAAAAAAGTCATGAATATTGAGCTTATTTACCCTTTAAACACTTGATCGTCATGCGCATACAGTGTATTGTTTGTTTCCAGAACCCCCTCAAGCAGACTTCAACTTTTTTTAGTAAATTGTATATTTTGCTTCATACACTGCATGTGTGTGTGTTTGTGGGAACACTCATGTTTGGATGCTTGGCATAGGTTAATGGTAATTTCATTGGAGTCATCAAATTACCTCTAAACACCTAAAACAGCATTCCCTAAAATTTTAATTGTTTTCTTACATTGCCCTATATCGCTCAAACTCGCATTGCTTAAATTGCAGATTTTGCTTAAATCACCTAAAATTGCTTAAACTTGCATTATCTCATTATCGCCCCAGAGTAGGGCGTACTGTTGCCATTGCTTTTTAGTCCCCAATACTTCAGTGAGTCATGCTTTGGAAATGACAATATTTTTTTATTACCCAACCCTTGAGTTGTTTTGTTTTTCATTTACCCAACCTTTTACTTACTCAAAATTTAGTTTACCCAACCCTTTTCTCTTCGGTGCCACCCCCCACCATAAATAATGACCGGTCCCTTAACTAAATATATTATATATGTTTCCGATTGAGCAAAACCACGCACAATCCAGTAGAGATTAATGTAATATATTTAATACATTCTAGAATGATTGGGTTTTGATTAGATTACATTCAAAATGATTAGACGAATAGTGAATACCTTGATTACAACTAAACAATTTACAACACCTGAAGAGTGGGTCTCCACTGGTTGATAAACTCTGGATATACTTAAGCTCTCTATACGCTGTCGCACACTGTCTCAATATCTCAATACGATACTTGCCTTCGATACTCTCTGGATCCTATTACGTCATGCACATTTGTCAAAACTTAGTCACTAATTCAATCAGTTACCATGCAAATCAAATGGGTTAAATCAAATAGAATCATGTTAAATCAAACTAAAGTTATAAATTATTAATCATCTTCAAATAGTTTGTAAACTGTCCGATCCAACCCTCCGGCGTAACGGCCAGGAGGAATCTTCTGCCAGGATTGGACAACACTTCTGGACTGACCGCTGATATTCTCCGGAGTTCGTTTTCAACCTCACATTCCGAATGACACCGTCTCGTCCCGGACAGACTTCGACAATCCGTGCTAAGTTCCATTTTCCTCTCGCTACGCTCGCGTCGGCCACTAAAATGATATCACCGACCTTGAACTGTCGTTCCCTCGTCTTCCACTTCGCTCGTCGCATCAGGGTTTGGAGATACTCGCGATGGAACCGATTCCAAAACTTTTGAACTAATGCTTGCACGTACTTAATTAAACCTCTTTCGACAATTCTTGACTTCTCGAAAGGGACCTTGTGGGACTTCGGATGTCGCACGACCGAGGATGAAGTGGTTTTGGGTCAAAGGTTGGATATCGTTCGCGTCGTTGGAAGGGTATCCAAGGGGGCGGCTGTTGACAAGGCATTCGACTTTGCTAAACACGGTGGACATCTCGTTCCACGTACGAGGTTGTACGAAGTGATGTGAGGACAAGTGCGTGGGGGCTCTGAGTCGGAGTTTGGTTATTAGAGAGGTTCAAGATTTGACTTCCACTACATTTCGCTGGCTTAGTATACATCTGATTGGTTAATGGGATAGTTCAAATGTATCTCGTTCGTCAAAGGTTCCTTAATGGTAGGGGCGTAACGGTAGCAGTAGTGGAAGTTAAGTCCGAACCTCTCAATTAAAACGTAGAAGCCGTTGAAGCCTTTTGATCTTTTGTTGAATTTTATGCATTTATTGAAAGGTAATTTAGAGCTGATATATATTTACACCGTGTCAGTTTTTGCCAGCTATAAAGGTCAAAAAGTTTCTTAGCTTGTTGACTTTTATAAAATCCAAAGTCGCGCCAAAGGTTTCTTCAAGCGCTCCATTCGGAGCAATCCGAACTTCGAATGTACCCTGATACTGCAATATCGTGGCCATAACCAGAAAGTGCACGACAACGTATCGCCCGCGCTGTGGTCTTAAATTAAGCAGCAAAGTAGGATTTTATGTGATTCGCTTCCAAATTATGTGCCTATACAATAGAGCCGTTGATTGGGGATCCGATCTTAGACCCAAACGATGTTCCTTTCCGATGCAATACCAACAAACACGAATCTAAACCTATAGAATTTGGTGTAACAGTTACCAATCCTAGTTCTCAAACCAGCGGCGGCGGAACAGATTTCATTCTGGGGGGGCTACTTTTTTTCCGTGACCTCCCTCCCCCCCCCCGTCGCCAAAAAAATTTCGGTCAGTGTACCATTTTAGGGGTATAAAAATGTTTTCGGACATATACAAGAAAAGGGATGAAAAATTTTTTTCCGGACACATAACAAAAAAATTTCTTCGAAATACACAATTTTTGAACAAAATACGGCAAATTTTTCCCCTCATACATAAATTTTCAAAAAATAACCTAAATTTTCCCTTAATTATCAAAGTTTTCCAGAAAAAAACTAAATTTTCTGGGGGGGCTAAGCCCCCCCCCCCACTTTACTTCTGGGTGGCTTTAGCCCCCTAGCCCCCCTGTTCCGCGCCCCTGTCTCAAAAACCTTGTTAGAACTATACTCTTCAAAATGTGAGGCAGATACTGTAGCAGAAGAGAGCTTAAGAAAAGTGAGTTCTATACCAGGCGTCTTGATCATGATCATGATTAATGAAAACTCCATGCAGTATAGGTCAAACAGTTTGTGTAAAGTAACCATAGAGAGGAAAGTTTGCAAAGTAGCGGATTGTATACAACGTAGTAATCAGACATGGAATAATTTATCATGTTGGCGGTTGAAAAGCAATTATAATTCGTCACGATAATCTTAAGTTAGGCTATATACCATTGAAAGGCGGGCGAGTTGTTTTTCCTGGGGGATTTCACGGTGTCGAAGACACGCATCACCATCCACTCCTATAGAACGTACCATCCTCCAACAAGCTAACATGCATGTAAAAGCTCCTTATATACGAGAAGGTTATGAACATCGGCGCGGCAATTTTCCCTTTCGTAAACGGTCGTTACCATCCGGAACAGGCGTTACCATCCCGAGGCTTATAGAATTCTGGGTAAGCAGAGCAAAATTCCTCGTTGTCCCATGCTGTCCTGCATGTCACATTTTTGCCCTCGTGCAGTGGTTTTTAGCGGGAAAATATTTCTATAAAACTATTAATAAAAGAGTGTAAACGATGGCAAATCCTTTAGAAAAACAATCAGTGAGGAAACCAACAGGATGGAAAACTTTTTATCAACAAGTTGCGGTGAATTGATAGTAATAATTTTTGTACGAAATACCATTCCGGATTTGTTGATGCCATCTTGACATGTCAGGACAACAATTCGTTTTAAAACGATAGAGTATTCAAATTTAAAAATAGCGTTATAAAACATAATTTTTAGAGAAGTTCCAAAGTTCACAAGGTCATATAAATGAATACTCGTATATTTATTTGAATAGTTTTAATTTTGTTTCACTTTTCACAGCCTGGAATTATTCAAAAACTTGGGCCCGAGTCAAACATTGGCAAAGTGTCCACTGTGGCATCCAAAATGTGGAGGCAAATCGGTGAAAGAAGGAAGGTAAATATTGAATATTCATAGTATATTCTACTATATTAGAAGTATATATTTATTTAAAGTATTATGCTGGGCCTTATTATTTTTTTTATATGTTTCTCGCCCGGAAAATTACTAAAATCACTGAATATTTTGAGTAAAAATATTTATATAATCAGTTCAATGAAAAAAGACCTTTTTATCATTAAAATAGACGATGTGCCACCCACCCCCCTCCCCATGGATTGACATCAGTAGACATTAATGCACATCAATACACCTCACTAGACATAATTTGACATCACTTGACATAACTTGACATCAGTAGGCGTAAATAGACATAACTGTTTACAACCTATGTTAGTCTAGCAATGTCTAGTGATGTACAGGCTTCTCCCTAGAAATATTTTGAAATCTAGTGTTTCTGAAAAAATATTTGCTTAACAGAAGTGGAAAATGAAGGCACGACAGACAAGAGAGGACCTTGATACAGAGATGGTGCAAGAAAAGCTTGACTGTGAGAAATGTGGCAAGATTGTCACCAGAAGCAAGGACCCGAAGTTCCATATCAAAGGTTGTCAACAATGTGTCTGTGAGAAATGTGGTCAAAAGTTTACGCATGAATTGCAGTTGAAAAGGCATAATTTGAAAAAGCACTCAAATACTTTTTCATGTAAAACATGTGGCAAATTATTTGGTTACAAACACCATCTGGATAGACATAGCTAGTGCTTTCACTTATAAAATATGCCATACTAAGGTCAAAACAAGAAGCAATTTTATTAGGCATATGACTCGGCAACATGATGGGTTAGATCCTAAAAATTACTGAAATCAGAGTATTTATTAAAAAACGTTTCAATATCAATTTTTGCTGTTCTTCTTTATATTTCAAACAGTTTGTAGCAGGTAAATAATTAACTGATGTTTGTCAGAAAAAAGTCCTAAGCATGTCCATTGCTAAAAATGATTGATGCATTTTGGACAAGAGCAAACTTACCATCTTATTTTAGGGGCGGACCATTAGAAAAGTGATGGGGGAGGCAAAACCAAAAAAAAATTTATATTTCGCAAAAAAAAAATTAGCGAAAAAAATCTTCCCAGGCATAGTGCAAAAAAAATCCTTGCTTGGAAGATAAGCCTATAAAATTCACTTAAAAAAATTTCCAGCCATCAAGTTAGCCTGAAACAGCCGCATATTTTTGACAGAAATATGCGGCTGTTTCAGGCTACCATCAAGTGAGAAAAAATATATATTTCTTCTATAGGCACACAAAAAGATATTGCCTCTTAGAAAATCCCCCCCCCCTAATCACTTTTCTAATGGTCCGTCCCTTATTTTCCTATACCAGCAAGTTAAATATTAAAATATATATGTATAATAGATAACTTTAAATTTTGTTAATAAAGTCTCTTGAAATCCTGACATTAAGATAAAAGTTATTGTACGTGCCTTATCATACTGCAAAAAATTTGATCTGTTTGATTTGATTGAAAACAATAGTATCTCTGAATAGTAACTATGCCCTAGTCAATATAGAGTGAACAAACTGTCAAATGTTTGCTGTTTTGTAGTTAATTTAAGCACATTTAACATTTTGATCTCATCACATGTGACCCAGACTTTTTGCTTGGAGGTACATTTTCCTTCACTGCCATAGCAAGACTGTGCTGACTTTTCGCATGCTTTCTTGGTGGTTCTAAACACTTAAGAGTTGTTGGCCTTCCTTTAGCGACAGCTTTTGACGGCTACCATTGTTTGACTTTCGTTTTCTGCCAGGCTGGATTTTAATTTTTTGCCAGTTCTGGTACTTCTCAATTCATCAGTGCCAAAGTTGAAAAGTGCAGATACTAGGCTTCCAGGCATTACACTGCTTAACTTCATCAAACAGGCTGAGAACTGTTTCATACCTTTGGACAAATTCTTATCACCTGTAGACTTCAGTTTCTCAACCAATGACTCACAGGCTCTATTTACTGCTGTAATACCTTCTTGTATATGTTCTTGTTCCAATCTCTCTTCAGTCTCCACCAAAATGAAATCATCCATGCTTATTTCTTGGCAGTCTGGTTGTTCCAAACTATTAACTTGATGTGATTGATCTTCAGCTTCAATGCTGTGAGCATTGTTGCTTTTAGCACGGAGATTTGTATAGTAGGTAATGGGCAAGGTTTGGCCTATTGCAATCCATGCAAGCTTTTGTCTTGACTGTGGGTTAGAGACGGGGACAAAATTGATACAGTTGGCAGTATTGGAAGCCCACAATATGTACTGATGTTTACAAGGGCTGCCATCTCTCCCCATGACACAACTGCAAACACCAATTGACATATCTACAAAATAGCTGAAAAAATATAATTATTATAATTACATGGGTAACAATGCACAACTTGTAACAAGTCTGCAATCAAGTTGGGTTTGCAGTGCTTGTTGCAAGTCGTTGGAACAAGCTGTTAACAACTTATATCAAGATCGATGGCATTATCAGACTTGCTACAAGTTTGTTCTGTCTAACATGTCTGATCGATGCAGCCATAATATAACAAGTATGTTACAAGATTGACAACACAAGCTTGGAACAATATTGTTATAACCAGACTGGTCTAATAACAAGATTGTTACAACTCAGTGGCAGACACTTCGTGAAATATTGGGGGTGTGAACTTAAGTTGCCAACATATCTCACTCTTCTACTGCGGCAAATATCAGTTCTTTCAAATTTTTTGCCTAAATTTCATGCAAATTTACTTTAATTATAAGCCTATCAGGCTTTTGTGGTTGTGATCTTGTTAATATAGCTTTTTCACACAGCTAAGAGATTATTAGGGGGGCAAGCACCCCCCTTGGCCCAACCCCCTTAGTGTCACCACTGTTACAACTTGTTCACAAGTTCAACGGTTAAGATTCAGGGGGTGCACTAAATTCCACCAGCCCCCCCCCGCCCCAAAAAAACATGAGCACTGGGCAATACCTTTTGCCCTCTGCAGTATAAGGGTGCTTAAAGTTTTGAG